GGTATCTTCGAGACTCTTGGACTAATTATCAATCTTCCAAAATCTACTCTGATTCCTGCCCAGTCCATCGTTTTTATTGGAGCCAAACTAGACTCTACCACCGCTATGGCGTACCTACCTACAGACAGAGCCGACTCCATACGGGACCTATCAAGCATCTTGCTTACGGCCCCGACAGTCTCATACCTTACCTGCCTGAAGCTGTTAGGTCACATGGCCTCCACCATGTATGTCATAACCTACGCTCGCCTCTGCATGCGATGTCTACAACATTGGTTCCTTGTAGCCTACAAACCGGGCATGCTTCTCGTAGCCTACAAACTGGGCATTACCAATATCAACAGTTTCACACCTGTCCCTGCCTGTGTCAAGGAATCGCTCGCATGGTGGCTCCAACCGGCCAATACTCTGGCGGGTGTTCCCTTCCGGATCCAATCCCCGTCAATTCAACTTACCACGGATGCGTCCCTCGTAGGCTGGGGGGCACATATGCTGCATATTGAGTCCAAGGATTATGGTCCCACCAAGAATCCCTACTTCACATAAACTTCCTGGAACTCAGGGCAGTTTTCAACGCTTGTCGCCACTTCGTCCACCAAATACAGGGAACCACTCTACAGGTCCTTATGGACAACATATGCACTGTATACTACATCAATCGACAGGGCGGAGCCAGGTCCAGGACCCTGTGTGCGGAATCAGTGCGCCTTTGGAACTGGGCAATTCATCACAATGTCACACTCACAGCCTCCTATCTCCCCGGCAAAACCAATACAATTGCGGATGCACTCAGCAGATCCTTCCATTCCCAACACGAATGGGAACTCCTTCACTCCGTAGCTCGCAATCTGTTCCAGCTATGAGGCTACCCAGAGATCGACCGCAAAACCAATACAATTGCGGATGCACTCAGCAGATCCTTCCATTCCCAACACGAATGGGAACTCCTTCACTCCGTAGCTCGCAATCTGTTCCAGCTATGAGGCTACCCAGAGATCGACCTCTTTGCTACTCGCGACAACAAGAAATGTCGCGCTTACTGCTCAAGAGCGGGCATAGGCACCCAATCGATGGGGGATGCCTTCCTGCTCAGGTGGGGAACATACCATCTCTTATACGCCTTTCCCCCAATTCCACTGATACCCCGAGTAATAGAGAAGATACTATCCGACTCAGCGACAGTAATCCTGGTGGCCCCCTTCTGGCCTCGCCAGACATGGCTCACGCAACTCATGCAGATGTCGGTATCCAGACCTCAACGACTTCCACGGATCTGCAACTTGATCTCGCAGCAAAACGGCAATCTTCTCCATCCGGACATCTACCATTTGCACCTGACAGCTTGGCTCCTAACTGGCTCCAAGACCTAGAGCTAACCTGCTCCCAAGCAGTCAGGGACGTACTAGTACAAAGCAGACGCCACAGCACTCAACGATCTTACCTCTACAAGTGGCGTCGCTTCTTCGCTTGGTGCCAATCACAAACCATCAATCCCCTCAAAGCACATATTCAGTGCATCCTAGACTATGTACTTCATTTACATTCGCAAGGCTTGGCTGCTGCTTCCCTAAGAGTACACTTGGCAGCAATTTCGGCCTTTCACGCTCCAATAGAGGGTTTTTCCGTCTTCTCTCATCCACTCACGAAGAAGTTCCTCAAGGGTATTTCGAATCTCTACCCACCGCATAGACCTATCTCACAACCATGGGACCTTACCCTCGTCCTGGACACTCTTACCTACCCACCATTTGAACCACTTGCAACTTGTGATTTACAGACCCTCACAATTAAAGTTACCTTTCTCCTTGCGATCGCCTCGGCTCGACGAGTCTCCGAGCTCGCGGCACTCTCTGCCGATCCTCCCTACACAATATTCACTCAGCAGGGAGTCTCACTTAGATGTCATCCAGCTTTCCTGCCAAAGGTTAATTCGTCATTTCACGTCAATGAGCCTATAGTCTTTCCTACTTTCTACCCCAAGCCACATGCTACACCTGAGGAAGCCCGCTGGCACACATTAGACTTCAGAAGGGCGTTGGCATTCTATTTAGACAGAACGCGTCCCTTCCGGAAGTCCCCACGATTACTGTTGTCACTGGCGAATCGTTCTAAAGGTCATCAACTGTCGTCACAACGTATTTCGGCACATCGTTAACTGTATCACTCGTTGCTACACCCTCAGGGGCAGGTCTCTACCCTGTCCACCAACAGCACATTCAACTAGGAGTATGGCCGCCTCCACGGCTTTCATGAAGAACGTACCGCTACGGGACATATGCCGTGCAGCTACATGGTCGTCTTCATCCACGTTTGCTCGACATTATGCCCTTGACCGTCTCAAAGCAGCAGACATAGCCGTCGCTCAAGCAGTTCTTTCTTCTGTGCACAAGTACTTCCGAAGCACGACTAGCGGTTAGATGACTGCTTCATACTCACCTGTAGTGGAGCACCCACGGGGACGTCACTCGAAGAAGAAGAAATTGTTACTCACCTTGTGCAGTAACATCCGTTCTTCGAAATGTGTGTCCCCGTGGGTGCTCCACGACCCGCCCTCCTCCCTGCTTCGGAGCTCTGTTTTGTATCTTTCAGATGTTCTGGCTAGGAGGAACTGGCGGGTCGGACCACGCGACACAGAAAAGGCGCGAACACCGCGGGACGCTCTGCACATGCGCGGTCTTCCGGAGGGGGCTACTGCTAGCAAAAATTTTCCAGTTTGCGGTGCCGGGACGAGCCCGACACCTGTAGTGGAGCACCCACGGGGACACATATCTCGAAGAACGGATGTTACTGCACAAGGTGAGCAACAATTTCATCCTTGACAGTCCCAGGCAAAAACTGGTACAAACCAAGCAGTTCCATTGATTAGTGGGCCTGTTTCCTCATCAACCTATACCATGATCTTTGGTTATCTGACCCTGGGTGGTAGATAATGACACAGTAAATGTATAGATGAAATTGACCATCCCTTCTCCTGTGCTCCAAGAGTTGAATTATGAGGAAAACAGACACAATTTTCAGGGTGGGGGACCTTTTGTTTTCCCTTCACCTGCTAGCATCATTGCCTTAGATGCATCCAGTGTTGGCTGGGTTGTGTATCAAATATATGATCTAAGGAACAGCTGGAGTCCAGACATCGTATCATTGTGCTGGCGCTCAAGGCAGTGTAATGAGCTGTGAAAGTCTTTTGCTCATTCCTACAGCTATGTATAGTACAGGTGCTTGACAGCAGCATGGTCATGCATTAAATCAGCAAGCAGGGAGGAGCACATTTTCCATCTCCTATCTTCAGATACAAGAAAACTTTAGGTTTAGTATATTCAGAACCAAATCTGCCCAAAGTTGTTTGACTCGCCCAGTAAGAAAATGTGAAAGCCTATTAGCTCACTAAGAGGTTTCAGGATTAAGCATCAACACAAATGACCCTTGAAATGAGTGGAGGACATTGCAATATTTTGTAAATGGGATCACTCAGAGACCTTAGAGTTGGGACAGAGCACCAGACAAGAGCACACAGGCAAAAGCTCTCAGATGTATTTCTTGTGGATTAGAGCTATCATCAATATACTTTCAGTTCCATTCTCTTGATGCCCAGAATCTTAAAGATGAGGCTCAACAGAGCCAACATTGAACCTTGACAGTACCAGTATACAGGTCTTCTACTGGTAGTCAGGGAATATCCTTACTTACTGCTTGTCCCATGATTAAGGGGAAGGATTCTGCCACACAACCTAGGGTGGAAGTAGGACTTAACCTTTGGCGGGTATGGAGCATAATTTTCTGGACAATGGAGTTGTTCTCTGAAGGTTCACACCATCCTTATTCCAATCCAAGAGGCCTCCAGTCTAAATAAAGAAAAAAGAAATGCAGGTGAGTTTACTATCTAGGCCACTGAATAAAAGTTTTATTCAGTGGAAGGCTGGAAACCCTGCTGTCTTAAAGTCTTGGGGCTTACCATTAACTTCTCTAAAGTTCTATATATCAGCCTTGTCTGCTCAGAAGTTATATTGAAGTCAAACACGTCTTTTCTCATTCTATACTTTTTGGTTTCTTATGCATTTTTAGTAAAAACATTTTTTTCCATTTAAGAAATGACCATATTAATGAGACCTAAAATATTTTTCTCAAAGATTTATAACTTGGCCAAATGTTTAGGTGGTGTTTCATAGGAACAGTAAAAAGTGCATCCTGGGCATAAAGGCAATGAAAAAAAAAGAATTTCAAAATTCCTGTTTCAAAGCATGACTAAGTATGGTTTCTCATTGAGAAGTGGTTGTAAGTATGTATTTAGGGAAAAGGGCAAAATACCCCCAACCACATTTTGAGCTCTTTATACCAATATTCCTTCTAGTTCTTTCTGTCCATGTGTGAAATACATTTTATGTGCACAGAGGGAGGTGCAAATGTGCACCATCAGTAGAAACACGTACTACTGGCTGTGGGTGCTCTGCTAAACAGCTGGAAACATTTAAATCTCTCCTGGGTGTCTGCCCAAGTGCTCAGCGAACACTGGTCTGCACCATTTTTTTTTCCTGAAATGTAAAATTTTCAGCATGAAGCAGATACCTAGCATGAAAAATGTTAGCATGGTAATGATATAAGTAACTAAAAACAGTCTGATGATGAAAAGTGTCAGGCAGCGTTAACTATAGGTGGCACTGTCATCTCCACATAACTGTTTAAAATCAATTTTGTTCTGACTCAGGTGTTCTGTGGTGTCTGTTGCAATCGGAAGTGCAAGCTGCAGTATGCTGAAAAGGAAGCAAGAGTCTGTATTGACTGTTACACATCTATTAATAAAGGTAAAAAGTTGTGATTGTGGTTTTATATACTTTTAGTTACTACTTCCATCAATTGGGGGGGGGGAATTAATCAGAATTGTTATTTTAGGACAGAAGAATGAATCTGTGCACTCAGGAGGAAGCTTTTCCTTTCTAAGACAATGACTGGAATGTTGATTTAAATTTTGCCTAGCTAATACATCTCAGTGACTTCAATCTTCCTCCTTCATCCTCCGCCATAGTAATTATGAGTACACGTGATGGAAAGGCATGGGAGTTCTGATGAGGCTAGAGAGCTGCTATTTGGTTGGCTAGTGTGGAGTCTAAGTTGAAAAACTACTGCATGTCGTTCGTTTGGGAAATCATTACTCTTTAAATCATACTTAAAGTAACTTTTTTTTTCCTCACTATCTCTGTGAATATCCTTTTCCGTTTGATTACTGTTGTGAGTCAGTTGTGGTTACAGGAATTGCATGGTTTGTATGGTAATTGCTGAAACAACAGGCTGTACAATGAGTGTCCATGTCTACATTTTGAAGACGAATAGCAGACAGGAATATTTAATGTACAATTTGAGGCAGCTGTAAATATTTAATAAATGGCAGGATCTTCAAAACTTAAGTGCATTTTTTTCCTTTTAGCACAGGCATTTGAAAGGATGATGAGTCCAACTGGTCCTATCCCTAATTCCAGTATCTCCTTTGAATGTTGTTCTACTGTTCCACCTTTGCAGGAAGCGCAGACACTTGGCACCCCTAATTCTCCATCTTCTGTTTTGTTACCTATCTCTGTCCTGAAACAACCAGGTGTTGATGGTAAGTTAAGTAATTTTATGGGTTGCTATCTATTATCTGTTTCTAAGCTATTTAGCTTGTACTCTTTCAGCACATACATAGATGATTTTGCAGAATAGTTTGGTTTCTTTAATCAGTTGATCAAAGAACACTGTGGGTTGAGAACAAAGATACTATAATGATTAAGATACTGGACTAGGATTCAGGGGAACTTACATTCATTTCTGAGCTCTGCCATGGACTCAGGATCCTTGTGTGAGTTTGGGAGAGTCGTACCATCTCCTTGTCTTCATTCTTCATTTGTAAAATAGCAAGGGAGTAATACTGCCTTTATCTTGTCTATTTGATAGTAAGCTTTTCACTATAGGGACTGTCTCTTACTGTGCCCAAGGTATAGCACGAGGGCCTGTTGTCTCGATGCTCTGATTGGCGAGAACAACAGTTTTGTGTGTACGGTGGCTGTTAAGGACCAATAATGTTTTCTACTTCTAAATTAGAACAATCCTATGATGTGGAGAAATATATGCAGAAAAAAGCATCATTTGCCCTCAAAAAAAAAAAAATCTCTGAACTATCATTGTGGTTCATGCTAAATCCAACATGCTTAATGTAATAACTTAATTTGGGGGGGGGTGGGAAGCCAGAAACCTTATATGTCCCTTTTTGCTGCTGGAAAACTGTGGTAAATACCAAATTAGTGTTATTTTTTTTAACCCATTTTTTTAGGGCTGTGCCCCAGAGAACAGAGGAGAGTCTGGTTTGCAGATGGTATTTTGCCTAATGGTGAAGTTGCAGACACAACAAAACTATCATCTGGAGTCAAGAGGTCTTCACTAGATTTGAGTCCAGAAAGCCCTGACTTACCAGAGGTGCATATGTTATGTTCTCAAAAGTATACACTGATGCATGATTTTTCACCAATAAAAAGTTGATTGTCTTCAGACAACTTTGTTTGCCTATTTAAAATGACACCCTCATAACTGCAGTGTTATGTGGCTTTGACTTCTTTCTGGGTGGTTGAATTGATTTAAATAATCAAATTTAATAAATGTTTTCCTTGTACTTGAGTTCTGTAAAGAAAGGTGCACAGTCACTGGCTGATAGAGCCATTAGAATTGTTATAAATTCAGTATATTTTATTTAGTTGCACTAGATTTGATACCTCTTTTTTACTGCCTTAGTGGGTATGCTGTAACTATATACATTTATTTAAGTAATTATCTAGTTTAATGTTTTCAGTTATTTTTAATTATACATGTTTAGTGTGTTAAAATATGTTTAATCATATATTGCCTATATAAATAACTTTTTGCTCATTATTTGTGTCAAGCTGTAATTAGGATGGTAAATGGAATTAAATTCAAAACAAAACAACGTATAAAACTTATATATCCAAAACATTAAGGTTGTTTTGTTTAATAAACTTATTTGTCAAAACAGGTTTCATATTTAAAATTAAATGATTTAATAAAGGAATAGTGATTAATTGTAGTCAGTGGATTAAACAGGTTATTTCAGGTTAGCTTTCGAAAAACGTTATATATATCAGTAAGTGAAAGTGACTCACTGAAGCTTAAATTCCCATTCACCGAAGTCTCTTAAAAATGAGACAGCAGTCTCCTGCTTTATACAGTAGTTGTTTTTCAGACTTTTAAAACTAGTAACTCTCATCCCCTTTTTCTTAATTTTTCTTCATAATTGAGATGAGTTTTCCTGCTTCTTCCATTCCCAGTAGATTTCTCAATTTCGAATTAGTCCAAATAAAAATATATTTGTCTTCTGATGTCAAAACAAAAAAGTTTATTTAGCATTTAAGCAAACTGTTTCCAAGTGCTCGATGACTTCTGTCAGTTCAATGGTGTGAGTTTAAAAAAAAAAAAAAAACCCAGCAACATGTCATGTCAGCAAACCTGATTCTCCTCCAGCCCTGAAACTTCTCATGGTTATCATAATTGGTGGATGATTATTTGATGTCCATGCCATAGCAGTGTCTCCTTTTCTTGGGAGTTAGGCATCTACTGTAGGAGTTTGTGTTGAAAATATTGGCAAGAAAATGAGACGGAGTAAATGTTTGATCATCCATTTCTTTACTTGCAGAAATTTAACTTTGTCATTCGGTATTTTTTTCTGCAATGTCTCTTTGAAGTCTTTGAAAATGTTAGCAGCATCAGTAATACAGTAGCAATCTTTCTGCCAATTGTCCAAGGCTATGGATGTGGGTTTAGCATATTCAGCATATTGTCTACATTTTGCTTTAGTTAGTAGTTAATTGCTTTTGTTCCATCTGTTTTTGTCACAAATTCCTTCACGATTTTTATCAGAAACATCTAGTTCTTGATTAATAGCTGAAAATAGTCAACCACTAAATTCCATTAACATGTTGGGAGAAATAGTCTGGATTCTTCAGCTCTACTCAGTACTGTTTAAGCAGAGTGGATTGTTTACAGAAGGCTTTTGCAATGTGAACACTTTTATTTATTCCTGAAGTTGTACTTAAATCTGTCTAAAAGATGTTAGCTAGCTTAACTCCCATATATGTTTCAGTTTTCCTTTATTATCTTCTAGATTTCCTCTCATCTCTGCTATATTTGAAGCATTGTCTGACAAAGCTACACTCTTCACACTTATATTTGTAGCTAGTTTATGGCTTTTACTGCTACTTTTAAGTAGTCTGCTATATAGGGATTTTCTGATAAATCAATTCTTTCTGTAAGATATTACTGGATCATTGTGTATATTGTTCTATTTATCAAGACTCAGATTAATGAATTTTCCATCAGTTTTTGCCACATTGTTCGATTTCCTTCTCATACACCACATCCCAGCAATGTGTGCTCTGCTGGGTGGAGTGTAGTCTGGCTGTAATGACTGAACTGTGTCAATGACGTTCTTCTTTTGAACAAGATGAAAAGGGAATGTGTTGCATAAATGAACCAAATAGCTTTTTAATCTATGGATCCTTGCTGGAATTTGCTGGTTCTGATAATGACCTCATCCACGGTTGTTGATAAAGAATCTTTTATTAAGAGGTAGTTTACTGCCTGACATACACTTAGTTGCAGCCCTACTGGTGACACCAGCAGATTTTACAGATGATGGATGTTTAAATATGTCATCTATATCCATCTTTATATACAAATGTTACTTTTTAACAGGAAGTCTTCACCTAGAATGTTTGATTATATTGAGCAATAAAAGTAATTCAGTAGTCCAGTAGTAATAGTAAAAATTAAATAAAAAAATACTCCCATAACAAACGAAGACAACTGTATTATGAACATGCTTTGAAATTAAGTAATCCACCCATAATTAAAATTTCCATTTACTAGCATATTAAGACATTGCAGGGAGTCCGTCAGAATGGTACAGAAAAAGTTGACTAACCAGTTCCAAAGATGCCATTCAGACATGTACGTGTTGTCCTCTTCAAATTCATAGTGTTTCTTTCTGAAAACCAAGCCTTGCATCTTTGTTGCACTGTTTACATTTGACAGATGTTTCTTATTATCCAGAGAGATCTAAATTTCTCTTCAGCTATGACTGTTTTTCCTCCATTTACCAGGGCCTGGGAACGGGGGGAGTGTGTAAAGTCACCTCCCGCCCTGCCCCTTCCTTGCAAGGACTGCATGCTCATGGCAGGGTGGGAAGAGTTCCTGATTGACTTGGGGGTGGAGAGGGAGCACGTAGTCTTCTTCCGCCTTGCAAGGGGCATGGTGCTTCTAAGTGCTGCACATTCCTTGCAGGACAGGGGCAGGGTGGGAGAAGACTTTGCACGCGCTCTCCTGCCCCCAGTTGAAGTTTAAACACATTTTTATTCCACTCTAATTTTAAACAGGTTTATTTTTAACAAGAAATAATAAAAATGCAGGTTAAAATAAATATCTAATTTATTTAAAAAGGGTCTTTTTTATTTATCCTGCTTTCTGATGAGGGTTTTGGGTAGCTAATCAGTTTTTAGGTTGAAGTAGTAGATGAGACCACCTTTCAACAGAAACCACGTGAATAAGAGTATGCAGTATACTGTGTCTCCTTTGAAACTTTAAGAGGATGTATATAGTGCATATAAGGAAACTGCCAATTGCAGGAGAGCTGCACTGATAAAATGGAAAAAAGAAGGGAGAAGGGAAATGGATCTGGGCTGATGTCATGGTGATGTCATGGGATTTTAGCTTTACTTCAGTCATTTGAAAAAAACTGATATCCTTTTTGTAATGCTTCATACAAGTTGGACCTCCCTGGTCCAGCACCCTTAGGACTTGAGCTGTCTTGGACCAGGGAGTTTGCCAGACCAGGGGAGGTCAGTGCTCCCCTGTTGGCTGCCCCGCTTTTGGGCTCCTCTTGCTGGGGCTCCCTGCCCTGCTGCTGGCCCCACTAAAGCTGGCTCTCCACGGTTTCCCACCTTGCTGCCTGTCCGTTGCCTCAGGGTTCCCAGTGCTTGGCTGCTGCTGGTCATGCTGCCACAGGGTGTTCTCTGGGGTTCCTGCTGCTGGCCCTGCTGCCTCCAGGGGTTCCTCAGCTGGGGTTGCCCAGCCACTGCACTGCTGGGGATTTCTAACCCCCCCCCTCCGCCAGCCCCACTACTGCTGGGGGTTTCCTGATGGAGGCTACCCGGTCATCCCAGCTCAGCTGCCACAGGGGTTTCCCGGGGTTCCTGGCCAGGGCTGCCCAGCTGCAGTCAGGGGTTCCCCGGGCTGGGTGGGAGCTCCCAGGCCACCGCCTAGCTCTGTTATTGCTGGAGATTCCAGGCCTGTTATTGCTGGGGGTTCCAGGCCAGGCCAGGGACTCCCCAAGTGCCATCTGGCTTAGCCAGGGATTCCCAACCCCTGCGTTGCACAGGGCTCTTTGGTCCAGCAACATCCCTAGCCCTGCCAGAGCATGGATTTTGCCAACCAGAGAGTCCCGGATTTGGGAGATTCAACCTGTATCTCCCCACGTTGACTGGTTTACATAATTGACTTGGGGGGGGGGAGGGGTGTCAACATATATATATAACCCTAAAGCAGAAGTGAGCAATACTATTAATTGCTGAAGTAAGCTGCTATTAGTAAATTGGATAAACATAAAAACTGCCTGAAGTTTTGGAACTCCAGGTCCAAATTATGGCACATTCCAGTACTCGGGAGCTTTGCAAGATCTAGTTTTACTCACAATGCTGCACAGTGACCTGTGTCATACTCTAAAATGGTGGCTGCTCCATTTTTAATATGAATTACTATAATACAAGAAAATGGCAGACTAAATATGCCAATTATTTTACACTCAGATATTTGTCTGTTCCATAATAGAGACTAATATGTGTTAAAGAGGCAAAAGTACTGTGATTTTCAGAGATGTCTTACTTTCTATTTTAGGGAAATATTCCCTGAGATTCTCCATAGTAGGGATGTATAATAGGGATATGAAAATGTAACCATGTACACAGTTACATGCAGGCTCCTGGCACACACCAGCTCCCAGGGAGCTGTCTCCCTTGCCCCCTTTTCCCCTCCCCTGATGCTGCTGCCTCTGATACTGTTTCTGTGTGTAACTATGTACAGCTGATATTTTCAGTAGTTACATGTTTTCTTGATTAAACATGTTTTAACATCCCTACTGTATAGCCCCTTTGGCTGCTTTTGCATTTGAAACACTAAAACAGGAGACTACTAGTGTTGCCTGGGGGACAGTAAATAACAAATCTAATTATCAATCTATTTTGTTTCTCATAGGTTGCAGGTCCTGTAGATGACATTTGTGTGACTGATTTAAAAACAAAGGATGAAACTTCAGTTACTGCAGGAACTGAGAAATTCCACTGTTCCTTATATGTTGCTCTGGATGATGACCAGTTGCCCACTACAGGGCAAACTGAGATGTTGCATAGTCCTGACTCTGCAATTCCAACTGCTGCTGCAAATCCAACTGCTGCTGCAAAACAGTTTACAAAAGTTGAGAAATCTCCTAGCCTTGGCATAGTGGACCAAGCTACTCATGATTCTCCTGTTAGTCCTTCAGACTACAGAATGTTGTGTGGTATTGAAAACTGTGTTAGCAAAGAATTCAGCCTTATTCCTGATGGTGATGGACTGCCACCTCTCTTACTTGCAACTGGAGAAAAAGGAAAAGGTAAAATTTGGGCTTGGGATTATTGGTATTTGTTGTATGCAAGCTTTCTAAAAATATATCATAGAATCAAAGAATACTAGAACTGGAAGAGACCTTGAGAACTAAACCTCGTACTTGACACACTCACTAGGGCCACTCTTTGAACCATTAGCCACTATCCCACCACAATACCTATCCTTGAAAGTGGCTTTTGTAGTGGCAATAACATCTGTAAACAAGTGGGTGAAATTGCAGCCCTCATGGCTACCATACATTACCTTTACTAAGGATAGGGTCATGCTCGGACATCATCACAGGTTTCTCCCTAAAGTTATATCGGACTTCCATCTGAATAAACCCATGTATTTACCCATGTGCTTTCCTAAACCTCATGCCTTTCTGAGAGAATCAATTTTGCACACACTAGATGCCAGGTGAGCCATAGCCTTGTATTTAGAGAGGACCAGGAAGTCCATGAGTCCAAGAAATCAGACAGATTCTTCATCTTTTGGTCTGGTCCCCACAAGGGAACAGCTGTCTTTGCACAATGGATTTCCAAGTGTATTGCGAGTTGCATATACATGTCCTATCAGCTTCATGGAAAAGAACCACTACAGATCTTTAGAGCACACTCCACACGTGCGATAGCCACATAAACTGCTTTCCTACATCATGTGCCACTAGCGGGAATTTGTAGAGCAGCCACATGGTCTTCCTATCATACTTTCACACAACATTATGCTCTACAGAAAGGACCCACACCTACTACCACTCCAGCAGATGCTGTCCATTCTTCTACACACAAATGACTCCAATGCTTATCACCGTGTACGGCAGTGAGGCTAAGTCACCTGAGTGGAGCACCCAGAGGGACACCACTCGAGGGAGAAGTTACTCACCCTGTGCAGTAACAATGGTTCTTCAAGATGTGTATTCCTGTGGGTGCTCCACTATCCTCTCTTCCTCTCCTCTACTTGGAGTCCTTTTATCGGATTTCCAGTAGAAAAGGAACAGAGGGAGGCTTGCATTGTGTGCATACTTAACAGACATAAACAGCGTGAGATGGCAACTGCAAATGCGTGGTGTGGGAAGCACTGCTATGCAAAAATCTCGGCTCAGTGGCACAAGGACGCACCGAGACCCAAGTGGAGCACCCACAGGGACACCCGTCTCGAAGAACCATGGTTACTGCGTAAGATGAGTAAATTTTTTCTTCTTCCAGATATTTGCAGATGAATTTCTTATTCCATTATCTTCCCTGGCACAGAAGTTAAACTGACTGGTCTGTAGTTTCCTGAGTTGTTTTTATTTCCCTTTTTATAGATAGGCACTATATTTGCCCTTAACCAGTCTTCTGCAATCTCTCCCGACTTGTATTATTTTTCAAAGATAGCTAAAGGCTCAGATACCTCCTCTCTCAGCTCCTTGAGTATTCTAGGATGCATTTCATCAGGCCCTGGTGACTTGCAGACATCTAACCTTTCCAAGTAATTTTTAACTTATTGTTTTCTTATTGTATCTTCTAAACCTACCCCATTTCCACTAGCATTCACTATGTTAGGCATTCCTTCATCATCAAACTTCTTGGTGAAGACTGAAATGAAGTCATTAAGCATCTCTGCCATTTCCAAGTTCCTTGTTACTGTTCCTCCCTCTTCAATGAGCAATGGGCCTTACCCTGTCCTTGGTCTTCCTTTTGCTAGTAATATATTTATAGAATGTCTTTTTGTTGCCCTTTGTCTCTAGCTAGATTTTGTGCCTTTGCCTTTTTAATCTTGCCCCTGCATACCTGATCTTTATCAACCTTCTTGTATACATTATGGCATTCCAGATGCCAAATTGTTTTAATATTCACATTATTTTGCTGTATTTTGGATCAAGCTGGTAACTGAACCGGCACTGATATGAACTTATATATTATGAAAAAATAGATGAATGTAAGCTCAATGAGATCCACTTTTTGAAGATCATGTATAAAATATCAGGGTGGATCAACCATTTGTGTCTGAAGAAAAGTGTACTCAGCTAATTAGTCAGCTCATTCTGATTCCATAGAAGTTAGCCTCCAGGTGAGTGAAGCGGGCCACACAGACCTCCTACAGCTGGAGGGCTTTCTCACAAAGGGGGTGTGACCAGGCACTGCCTTGTTTGTTTTATATAAAACATGGTGGTTTATTGTCTGGCATTACTGCTAAACAATGTCCTTGAAGGTGAGATAGGAATGATTGGCATACAGATCGAACTGCTCTGAGTTGCCTGACTTTGATGTGGAAGGATATCTCTCCCACTTTCCATAGATCCTGAGTTGTCAGATCACTGACATGTGCCTCCCATCCCAAAGGGGACACGTCTGGCCAGAGCCAGAACAGGTTGTGGTGAGTGGAATGGGACTTCTGCACGCACTATTTATGGATTTAACCACCACCAAAGCAACTTGAAGATCTGATGAGGCCTGGTCACTGTGTCAAGGTTGTCAAAGCTTGGGTGATATGCTGACCTGAGCCACACTTACATGGGTCTGAGTCAGTCTGACATGCGGGACCATATACAGGCAGGCTGCCATGTGCCTGGGGAACTTCAGGCACTGCCTTGCTGTGGTGGTGGGAAATTTGATAAAGCCTAGAATTATTTGTGATATTGCCATGAAATGTAGTTGTCAACTCTTGCTTGAGTCATGTCCAGGACTGTTCCAATGAACTCTTGTCTGATATGAAATGAGGATAGATTAGCTGGTATTGAGCATGAGGTCCAACAGGGCAAATGTGGACCTGATCATGAGGACCTGTGCCTCTATTTTTTGGTGAGAGTGGCCTCTGAGAAACCAGTCACCTAGGTAAGGATAAACCTGTAACTGATGATGGCAAGGAAAAGTTGCTAACATGGAGTACCATAGACAGTTAATGGAAGATCTATGTACTGGTAGTGTGCATTGTTCACAATAAAGTGAAAGTAGTGTTTGAGGGAAGATTTGATGGTGATGGGGAAGTATGCACACAGATCTAGGATGGCTCTGAGACCCTCTTTGCTTTGGGGATGAGCAAGTATCTGGAGTAGAATCCCTTGCTACTCAGCTCCTAAAGAACCACCTCTACTTTTCCTAAGGCTACAAGCACCTGCATCTCCTGTTAGAGTTGCTCCTGAGAAGGATTCCTGAAGAGGGACAGGCAACGGGGTGGGAAGGAGCACAACTGAATAAAATAGCTCACCATTACTGTGTGAAGCACCCAGCGGTCTGAGTTGATCTGCGGCCATGCCCAGTAGAAATGGGGTAGTTCAGAAGGGCACTGAGGGGTTCTGGTGAATTGACTAGTAATCCATCCTCAGGTGCACCTTCTAAATGTTTTAGACCCCAACAAAAGCTTAGTCTGTCCTTCACCTTGCCCAGATAGAAGATGGGATGTCTGTCTTATCTATTACATTTCTGCAATAAATTCTGTCTGGGCTTGGAAGGATATGGCTGCTGCCGAGGGTCCTACAGCTTAAAAGGCTTCTGCTGAGTAGCTAGAGTATGCACACCCAAGGATTTGTAGGGGTCCTTCAGGCTGTGGAGCCTAGAATCCATCTGCTCCACCAACAGCCCAGTTCCATTGAATGGAAGGTCCTGGATCATTTTGACCTTTGGAGGCAGGCTGGAAGACAGAAGTCAAGCATTGCAGCATATAGCTATCCCAGAGGACAGTACATGTGCAGCAGAGTCTGCTGCACTGAGGAAAGCCTGAAGAGCTGTTCAAACTCAGCACAGGACTGAGGTAGCAAAAGTTCCTTAAATTAAAGGATTGAGGCCAAGGAGTTGCCATCCTGGGCCATGTGGAAAGCCCTACGGCCCAGAATTGCCAATGGGGTGGCTGTTGGGATGCTGCAGTATGCTGTCCAGATCTTGTCTTCCTGGCTCAAGACCTGTCAGAGGCCCTTCAGACTGCAGAGGATGACCTGGAATGGGATGGCCAAGTTGGAGTGGAGTGTGTTGGCCTGACAGTACTGTATAGATGTGGGGAGAGCTGTGATTGAGATTGGTGCCACAAAGTCTTGTGGTCTTGAGTGGGATAGTGCCCGTGGTCTTGAGTGGAATAGTGCAAGGAGACAAACTAGTACTGGAAGTCTGAAAAATGTCAATCAAAGGGTGATGCCATGAGCCTGGACAGCAGGCCTATGGTGAGCAGTCGCAGAAAGCACTGTGGAGACTCTGAACAGTGCCATGAGGTCAGGAATCAGGGCCAGCATCTGCTGTCCTTGCACATAGTTTGTGTGTGACTGGCCCTCACGGTCAAGACAGTGGGACCAGTGCTGCTATTCAGAGGTACACATGGGAGTGGTGATGGAACTCAGAGCTGCACTGCGATGCAGGTCGGGGTGCCAACAGACCCAGCATGTCTGGTTTGCCTGTGGATGGTGTCTGGCAATGAGCAAGTGGTGGCTTGCCTCGAACAGGAAGAGACTTCTTCATTGTCATTTTGATGAGGCCCCTGGCAGCCTCAAAAGTGTCAAGGGTGAAGAGCTTGGCCGCCACCTTCACCTGCAGTTGCAGGAGTCCAGGAGGATGGGGCCTACTAGAGGGTTGGGAACTCACATGGTTGATAATACGTGACCCGAGGGACCTTCACCTGCACTGTGCCTGCCAGGAGACGTGGGTGCAGGAGCAACCATTGCTGATAGTTTGCATGCTTACTATGACAGGCATGGGAATGGGAGCAGTACAAGAAACCTGGTAGCTTGGGTGCTGGCGTGTGATAGTGCCTAGGTTGCCATACCAAATTTTATTTTGGCACCATATTGGAAACTGCCAGAGGAGTGCTCCACACCCAGGCACCCTGGTGTCAGGTCCTGCCTCTGCTGGAGATGGAGTGCTGACTCCTTAAAGAGCTGCTTTAAGCAAAAGTCCTGCTCCTTTTTTGTCAGAGGCTTAAAACTCTTGCAGATCCTGCACTTCTTAAATTTAGGACCCTCCCCCAGATTAGGAATGTTAAATATTGGTTAACTGAATAGTTGAGTAACCTCATGAATTCTTATAGGTTAGTTGACTA